AGGGAACTGAGTGCAGCCCACAGTCACGTGGGATTGGAAGCAAACCCTTCCCCCGTCAAGCCTCAGAAGAGACCACAGCTCTGGTTGACACCTTCATTCCATCTTTGTGAGACCCTGAGGCAGAGAGCCCAGCTAGGCTGTCCCTGGACTCCTGACCCCTAGAAACTTTAAGATAAAGAAATGTGTGCTATTTTAAGCTGTTAAATTTGTGGTAATAGTATTACACAGTGCTAGATAACTAATAAACTTCCTTGAGTGCTTTTTTTCAAGATGATCCCCAGTGTTTCAGGATTATATCCTGTAGTTCATTCTTAGTCTAGTTACTGGCGGAGGGAATAGAATTACCAAATTTGGCATAAAAGAATCAGAATTTTCTTCTAAAAATACACACACAGAGAAAATAGTTGTTTTACTATTTTAAAATATAGGCACATCCATAAAGTTTGTACATTCTATAATATGGCCGGTCTGGTCACTTAAAAGGTCAATGTCATTAAAAAAAGTAAATCACACTGTTCTGGAATTTTTTTTTTTCTTGAGTCCAAGTCTCACTCTGTTGCTCAGACTGAGTGCAGTGGCACACTCACGGCCACTGCAGCCTCCATCTGCTGGGCTCAGGTGATCCTTCCACCTCAGCCTTCTAAGTAGCTGAGAATACAGGTGCACGCCTCTACACCTGGTGAATTTTTTATTTATTGTAGAGATGAGGTCTTGTTATGTTGCCCAGGCTGGTCTTGAACTCCTGGGCTCAGGCAATCCTCTTGCCTCAGCCTCTTTTTTTTGTTTTTGAGTTGGAGTCTCACTCTGTCGCACAGGTTGGAGTGCAATGGCACACTCACGGCCACCCCAGCATTGACCCGCTGGGCTCCAGAAATCCTTCCGCCTCAGCCTTCCAAGTAGCTGGAAATACAGGCCTGGTTAATTTTTGATTTATTGTGGAGACAAGGTCTTGCCAAGTTGCCCAGGCTGGTCTTGTACCTGTGGGCTCAGGAAATTCACCCGCTTCGGCCTCCCAAAGTGCTGGGATTACAGGCTAAATCACCAGTCTCAGCCTCTTAAAGTTCTGGGATTACAGGTGTGAGCCACAGCACCCAGCCTGAGTTTTTAAAACTAATTTTTTTTAAAGTTCTAACAACCAAATACAATGTGTGAATCTTTACTGAATCCTGCATCAAAAAACTAAAAATATAGTTTGGGAACACTTAGAGAAATTTGAACATGGATTGGACAATTAATAGTAAGGAAGTATTTTAAATTTCCTTAGTTGTGAGAGAAGCATTATAGCCATATGTGGGAACATCCTTCTATTTAGAAGATGCATGCTGAAGTGCTTAGAATGAAAGTATCCTGATATCAGTATCCTGATGCAGTTTAATTTTAAGTAGTTTAGCCAAAGTAAAATCTATTTACACACACACAGATTAAAGCGAATGTGGAAAAATGTTAATGAATGTTAATTGAATCTAGATAATGACTAGGAGGGATGTTTGTACTATTTTTTCAACTTTTCTAATACCTAACTTTTTATGACAAAAATCTAGAAATAGATTCATCCCTGAGGCTGGGGAAGGGCTAGCTGCCTCTGGAGCACATGGTCACCTGGCCCCAGAACAAACTTGGGGTTTGCTGGAAAGACGTGCTAAGTACCTGTGTGACCCTGTGCGTACATATGCACCTCTATGCATGTGTGAATGAACAGGTACACGTGTGTGTATGAAGAGGGAATGGTCGTTGGGTGGACTAACCAACAGTCTGTCAAAAAGAACCAAAAGTCATGGAAGGCACACAGACTTTACATCCCTATATATAGGCAGGTGTGGTGGTGCACCTGTAGTCCCAGCTACTTGGGAGGCTGAGGCAGAAGGATTGCTTGAGCCCAGGAGTCGGTCATTGTAATGAGCTGTGTGCTCACCACTGCATTCCAGCCTGGGTGACAGGGAGGACCCTATCTAAAAAAAAAAGGCCTATTCCATGGGCTATTGGCTATCTGGCACTGTTTTAGACTCACTAAATCATCATGTGCCCTTGTATAACACCCCCAAGGTCACTGGAAATCAACCCTGGAGCTGCTGTTCTGTCATTCACTTCATTTGTTTATATTCTCCAGGGCTCAATCAAGCCAGCCCTTGACTGATCTCTCACCCCCACTGGGCAGAAGTGAACACCCTCATCACTTACTTCATAGTCCCTGGACATGCTGGGGTACAGTCTGCCCAACTGAGCCCAACTCAGCTTCCCTGGGAGTAAACTGCAGAGGGAAAGATGAATATTCTGGACATTCCAAAAGCAATGATTATGTGTGGTTATCAGAAGACTTTTGTTTGTATCCTGGTGGAAGGAAGCAGAGATACAAATAAACACAGAATTTATATTTGCCTTGGGATAAGTTCTATGGCCTTGGAGGTGAGCAGTGGATTTTCTTTCTGGATCCTTTCTGTACAGGCAACTAGTAAAATGTATAGCCTGTCTCTGAGTGCATGTTGGCTCGTGGCTGGGAAACCAGCCTGCAGGCCACAAGATTTCATGGTTTGCGGGCATAGTATGTACTCATACACAAACAGGAAAGTCACCTTTGGTGATCATTCGCCAGATGTGTGAGAAGGCCATCACCCTCTCCAAAGTCCAGAGTTTATGTCACTCCCTGGTCACTGTGATCCAGCAACCACAAGGCTACGACTTCCACTCAGGCCACCTGGGACGGAACCCACAGCGGTGGCCTCTCTGACTTGCAGGATTTTGAGCTGACCAGGACAGCCAGTCCTTTGTACCATAGTGCAGAAACTGCCAGCTGCCTCACGGGTAGACACATCCCTCCTTCTGGGGCAAGGAATGCTTGGTTTGGACAACTGTCATGGAGTAGGCTGGCCATTTCTTCAGGCTTGCTGACCTCAGGCTGGCCTCACAGTAGCCCACGGTCCCTCATGAGGCAGTGTGGTGGAGGGAACGATGACCAATGGCTTTATCAGGTAGCTGGTGTCTGGAATTTCCGCCCTATAATCTCAGCTCTTTGATCTTGGACCAGGTGTATAACCCAGGTCTCAACTACAGTAAGTCCCCTACATACGAACCTTCAAGTTATGAGCTTCAGTGATGCACATCTGCTTTTTTATGTATCACTTCTCTCCACCGGGTGTCAGTATGTCCTGGTTAATACATATAGTACTACGTAGCCTGCTGTGTTCGTTGGGTACCTCGGCTAACTTTGTTGGACTTCAAACAAATTGGACTTACAAACAAGCTCTTGGAACAGAATGTGTTCGTATGTTGGGGACTTCCTGCATTCAACTATGATTGGTGATCACTGTAGCATCTACGCCATTGGGTTCTTGTGAAGACTAAATGAGAACAGACAGAGAATACCTAGCACAGAGGGTTTGTCCAGGAAATGGAAGCTCTAGTGATTTTTCTGGCTCTTGAGTAGCACTTAGTAACAGACTCCTCCTTTTCCTTTTCACTCTGTCGCCCAGGCTCGAGTGTAGTGGCATACTCATGGCCACCTGTCGACCTGTTGGGCACAGGCGATCCTTCTGCCTCAACCTTCCAAGTAGCTGGAACTACAGGTGTGTGCTATTATGCCTGGCTAATATTTATTTATTTATTTATTGTAGAGATGAGGTCTCGTCAAGTTACCCAGGCTGGTCTCGTCCGCGGGCTCAGGCAATCCCTTTACCTTGGCCTCCCAAAGTGCAGGGATAACAGGCTTGAGTCACTGTGCCTGGTGACTCCTCCTCTTCAAAAAACACATCCTTTTCTGCGTTTCTAAAATCTAGGAAAGAAAAACATTACTGATCTCAACAGAAACCCGTGAAAATACTTGGAATGTCCAGATCATGAGATATTGTCCCGGCACCTAAATGAAAGCCACAGGCCAGAGCCACATGCTTCTTCATCTCCAGTAGTGGCATTAATCCCATGTGTGCTCGCATTTGTCTCTTAGGTGAAATAAATCGGCTTAAAAAGTCAGCCTTCTGGGGCTGGGTGCAGTGGCTCATGCCTGCAATCCCAGCACTCTGGGAGGCCGAGGCAGGAGCACTGCTTGAGCCCAGGAGCCCGAGACCAGCCTGGGCAATAGAGTGAGGCTGTGTCTCTAAACAGTCAAAAAAATTAGCCGGGTCTGGTGGTGCGTTCTTGTAGTCCCAGCTACTCGTGAGGCTGAGGTGGAAGGATCGCCTGAGTGTAGGAGATAGAGGCCATGGTGAGCCGTGATCGTGCCACTGCACTCCAGCCTGGGTGACAAAGTGAGATCTCAACTCATAAAATAAAATGAATGAGATGAGATGAGATAAAATAAAATAATACGAGTAAAGTCAAATAAAATAAAACAGCCTTACAGGCAAGCTTGAGGACAAGAGATTTGCAACGTCTCGAGGGTCACATTACACTGGAAGCCAGAAAGTCCTAAACTTAGTTCGCAACCCGGGGACCGCCAGCACCTGATGCTAGCTGCATTCCTTACCAGAAGCTGAGCAGAGTTTGAAAATGTGTCTGGCCGGGCACAGAGGCTCACACCTTTAATCCCAGCACTTTGGGAGGCCAAGGCAGGAGGATGGCTTGAGCCCAGGAGTTTGAGACCAGCCTGGACAACAAAATGAGTTCCCATCTCTAAAATAAACAGGTGTGGCATGCATTTGTAGTCCCAACTACTTGCGAGGCTGAGGTGTGAAGACTGCTTGAGCTCACGAGTTCGAGGCTGCTGTGAGCACCACCGTACTCCAGCTGGGGCAACAGACCTTATCTTTAAAAAAAAGAAAAAAAGAAAAAGAAAATGTGTCTGGAGGCAGCGATTCTCAAAGGGTAGGTACATGCCCACACCCCTCCTGCCCCCAACCTTCTCATCCTCAGGGTGAGCCTGGAGTCTCAGCGTCACGTACTCTGGATGGCAAAGACATTCACTGGAGAAACGTGAGGTGCTCACCCTGTGTCTGTCAGTGCATAGACACACAGAAAGAGGACACTGATTTTTTTCTTTTCCCAGACAGCTCACGGTGTGCTCGGGAGGATCAAGTGACCAGTCTCCACACCTACTTAATCTATTTAAATCACATAAGAGTATTCCAAGGCCATAGGCATGATTATTTCTCTACAGAATCAAGGAGATTTTCTGCGTGGAGACTGTCTCATGGAGAGTTGAAATGTTTTATGTCTCTTGAGTCCTTGGCGAGGGTGGGTCCTGCCTCAGTCCTGCCTCCACTCTGGAAGGGTGGCCGCTCGCTTACGGTGTGGGAAGGAGTGTCCCAAACGCCAGGTTTCCTCCCTGGCTGGCCATCGCGGGGTTTGCCAACTTCTATCCTCCATTTCATCCACTCCCCATGAAACCATGGCTTTTAACACAGGCCACGCGCTGTGAAGCCAGCATTCATGCCATCAGAGCCACCCATCTGGCGTCTGAAATTACAAGGTCATGGTGTGACCAGGCCCCGAGGCAGAAGTGACCTCCTGGGTGCTGCCTAGGCCTCCACACCCCGTCCACACTGGCTCAGTGGGACCAGATGGGCTTCCTCTTCTGGAGGAAGGCCGTGATGCCCTCCTGCCCATCTGGCAGGGCCAGGTTGTCCACCATGGTCTGGGAGGTGAGGTGGTAGGCTGTCCTCAGGTCCTGGGGCAGCTGCCGGTAGAAGGCGGCCTTACCCAGGGTCACCACTGGGCGGCTCAGGGAGGCGATCTTCCTCGCCACCCTCATGGTCTCCTCCTGCAGCTGCCCCTCCGGGACCACTCTGCTGACCAGCCCGTGCAGCAGGGCCTCCTGGGCGGAGATGGGCTCCCCGGTGAACAGCATCTGCAGGGCGACCTGGGGGAGATACAGGAGTCATGAGGGCGCTCCCCTGTAACGCGCCCCTGCCGCCTCCGTCCCACCCTCACCACTTTGTGCTCTCCTGACTGCAGCCTCGGTCCAATGACCTGCTACCTCAGATAACGTGCCACCCGTGCCCTGATGTCTTTGGCGCCTGTCTCCTGCCAGGGATGGATCAGATCTTTTCCTGGAGCCAAGAAACCACGCGCAGCCGGGAGGAGGGCCTGCCTCGTGTCCTCTTGCTCCTCCGCAGATCTGTTCGCGGTGGGACGCCATCTGCCCCTTCCCAAGGCTGAGCGCAGGACAGCAGCCACCTCGGACGGGTGCCCTGCAGATGCTGCGGCTGGGGCCCCAGTACCTCTCCGAGCCAACCAGGGCCACTTTCCTCAAGGAGACCCCTTGTCACAGGTGCTGGCACCTTGTCCTGATTTGAAAGAGCAGCCCCCAACCTCCTGGAGACGGGGGCATTTACAGAAATTGTCCTGCAGGGACCAGACGTAGACCCAGTCTGCTTTTAACTCCCTCCCACCGCCCTCTCCCCAGATTCCTAGACCGGCAAGAGGGGGGGTGCAGCCTCCTCACCCCTCACTGTGTCCTCTGTTCCACATGTTGAACTTTGACTGATCCCCTGACTATAAAGCCCAGTTTCTCTAAACTCAAATTTGCATCTGAAAAGAGAGGGGAGCCTCGGGCCTGGGCTGGGGACCTCTCCTCTCCCTCTGGCCCTGGCTCACTCTTCCATAACCCTGTGACCTTTCTGTTTCTCAACCACCAGGCCACAGTCACCTCAGGATCCTGGCATGCTCCTTCTTCTCTTCAGGCCTCTCCCATACCCCCTTGGTCCGTGAGGTCCTCCATGACCGTCCTACTGAAATCGTAAAACAAACCACAACACTGTCCCCTGTTCTGGCTACATTTTTTATCCTCTGCACCTTTTTCCATTTAACACACCATGGATTTTCCACGCTTATTTGTTTATCTTGTTTCTCCTTTGCTAGCATGTAAACCCCAACAGGGAAGACTTTTTTGGTTTGTCTTCCACTCACTTCTTCATCCCCAGCACTGGAAGACTGTCTTGCACATAGTAAGCAACCTACTAAATATTTATGAATGAACGAATGATGAGAGAATGAATGAAGGCAAATAGAGTAGAGCACAAGTGATGCTATGGTTCCTTTGAGCCATATGGTTCCCTAGGGTCCCATCACTAGGTCAAAACAATGACACGGTTTCCAGCTGGCTCTTCCTCTCGGAACCCGGCCACCATGCTGTGAGGAAGCCCAATCTACTCTGAGGCGCCAGACCCACCCCCAGGGGCCCAGCACGAGGCAGCCTCAGCAGCCAGACGCCTTCAGACGGGTCCCCAGGTGTCACCCCTCCGTCCTCAGTCTTCCCAGCAGAAGTCACAGACATCGTGGCGCAGAGACGAGCCTTCCTCACCGAGCCCCGAACAAACCGCCAGTTCTCGAGCTCAACACATGTTGGCTATTTTGAGCTACCAGTTGGAGTGGCTTGCTACTCAGTGGCTGATGGCTGGACTCACTGGAGACGGAAATGTGGGAGCATCAGCATTCAGAGCAGGATTCCTCCAGCTTGCTGAGGGGCTGTCCTGGGCGTGGCAGGATGTACAGCAGCATCCCTGACCCCCACCTCTGCATGCCAGTAGCACTCACTCGCCCGCCCCGCCCCTGCTGCGCTGTAACATTCAAACAGGTCCCCAGACATCACCACGTCCTTGGGGCTAATATCGCTCCTAGTTTAAAACCACGGATCCCAGGACACACCCCTGCTCCAGCTCTGGCCTGAACCTCATGCCAGCAGCGCTCAGAGCAGAAGCCAAGGTGGGATAGCGTCACCACCTCTCCGAGCCACTTTTCCGTTAACGCAGGTGACTCCCTGGGAATTCACATGTCAGGAAGTGGCCAAGCCTGAAAAACTGACACAATATTAAAAAGCCAAAACCATCTAAGTCAAGTTCATCGATCCCCCGTCTCTTGGAATGATCCAGACCTCGAGGGCATTCAAGGAGTAGCTGAGATCAGGGTCAGGACTAGCAGGGGACATAATGGCCTGAAAAGCGGTCAGTGCTCCCTTCTGGCTGGTTCAGCAGAGGAGCCTTCGCTCAAGGCCAAGGTGGGCAACGTGCGGTGTGAGCTCCCGGCTGTGGGTCCAGCCTCCCATCAGACGCCTTCTCCTCTGCTCCTCCTCCTCCTGTCCTGTGGCGCTCTCTCTCCAGTCTCTGTTCTCCTGGTCCCAGGCACCATCACACATCTAGAAAGCACCCGTCTGACACAGGCTTCCCAGTGCCCCAGGATGTCTCTAGCTCCTGCAGGCTGGAGCCTGGGGAGGGGCTTGGACAGGGCCTGGCCCCAGGCCTGCTGAGCGCAGACCCTCCGGAGGACCCCCGAGCAAACTGCTTCTCACCTCTCACCTCCTCAGCCAGAGCACGGGGGCACAAATGACTGTCGCCGAGGGACGTTGTCAAGAGCTACTAATGACGGCAGGGCACCCTGTCACATCGAGGACAAGGGAAAGGCTGGGGAAAATGGTCATTTGAGCAAGACAGAAAGTAGGGGAGTCATGATGTCATTATGAAGGCTTTGCTTGCAGCAAAGAAGCTCAAGGGACCTGGCCCGAGGCAGCGTTTATGAAGGAAGGTGACCAACTTCCACGAGGAGAAACTCAAATGACAGCATCACATTGTCAGGTCCATTCGCTCATTCATTCATTTGACAAATATTTGTTTATTTTTGGGTTGGGGTCTCACTCTGTCACCCAGGCAGGAGTGCAGTGGCATGATCACAACTTACGGCAGCCTCGACCTCCTGGGCTCAGGTGATCCCTCCACCTCAGCCTCCCTAGTAGCTGGGGCTACAAGTGTGTGCCACCACACCCGACTATTTATTTTTATTTTTTATTTTTTGTAGAGACAAGGTCTCACTTTGCTGTCTAGGCTGGTCTCAAACTCCTGGCCTCCCAAAGTGCTGGAATGATAGGTGTGAGCCACCACTCCCAACCCCACAAATATTTACATAGAGAACCTACTATGCGTCCAACACTGTGCTACAGACCGAACCGCATCCCCCACAAATTCATATGGTGAAGGCCCAGCCCCCACGTGACTGTGTCTGGAGACAGGGCCTATAAGGAGGTAATAAAGGTTAAGTGAGGGCACAGGGTGGGCCCCAACACAGGATTACTGTCCTTATAAAAGGAGACATCCGAGCTCGCTCTCACCACCATCTGAGGACACAGTGACAAGGAGGCTGTCTGCAAGCCAGGGAGAGAGCCCCCGCCGGAAACCAAGTCCACCAGCATCTTGACCTTGGACTTGAGAACTTGAGAACTTGAGAAAATGCAATTTCTGTTGCTGAAGCCACCTGGTCATGATGTCTGCGATGGCGGCCTGAGCTGAGACACACAGGGATTGGCTGTATCTTAATTCTGAAGCAACACCAAAAACTTGCGTTAAAAACAGCACGTAAGTCCCCAGAGTGAATCCCTCTGGGAGGATGTGGAATTCTAGCCCCTGGCTGCATGAACAGGGAAGGCCCGTATCTGTCGGGGGAGGAGGCTCTACTCATAGGCAGCAGCAAGGATTTAGCAGCCTCTTATATTCCTTTCCACACGGAAACGAACTTGGCCCGAATAGGAAGGATTTTAATGGGGCAGAAAAGACATTTTCCCGCTCAGTCCATCGATCAGTCAGAGAAAGACGGATGGCCAGGCCTCCAGCCAGACACATTCAGAGAGACGGACCATCAGAACAAGAGAGACGGCCATAAAGCCAGACAATTATCGAGCGAGCCCCTGCTGACTTCTGGAGGCTGTGCTCGGCAAATTCAGAAGGGAAGCGGCAGACACCGGCCCTGTCTCTGCTGTTACCTACGGCCTAGTGGCTGCAAGGACCACTGAGTTAAGAAATCACCTCACAAGGAACCATTTTAAAACACGAAAGCGCCTCATCTTTCTGGAACACTCTGTCTGTAGCCGTGCCAAAGGGCCACATCAACTGGCCAAGTCCTTTCTGCTCTTAGATTCATTATCACTTATTTTTAGGGCAAACTTCTTATTTTTTTCTTTTTTTCAAGTTGGAGTCTCACTCCGTCGCCTAGACTGGAGTGCAGTGGTTGCTCCCAGCCACTGCAGCCTCGCCTGCTGGGCTCCGGCGATCCTTCCGCCTCAGCCTTCCAGTCGCTGGAACTACAGGCACGTGCTACCACGCCCGGCTGATTTTTTGATTTATTGTAGAGATGAGGTCTCGCCAAGTTGCCCAGGCGGGTCTCGAACCCGCGGGCTCAGGCAATCCGCTCACCTCGGCCTCCCAAAACGCTGGGATTACAGGCTGAGCCACCAAGCCCAGCCGCAAACTTTTTTTTTTTACCACACACAAGATTAACTTACTATAAAAACGGTTCTCAACCTTGAACAACTATCATAATACTATGAGAAAAGGACTGGCAGTAGCAGGAAACTGCAGGGGGTGGGGGGCAGGGAGGTGGGCTTGGCCATAGTGGGAATCTGCCTGGGGAAGGGGGGGCACACCTCATCAACAAGGGTACCTGCATCATGAATATTTGTATACCTAACCCTGGATTGTATCCTGCATCTTTAAAATAAAAAATTTAAATTAAAAAAAAAAACCAAACGGTCCTCAACGTTCTGCAGCGGGGATTTATTGTGCTCCCTGTGTGTCCGCATCCCTGCTTGACATCAAGGGCATGACTGTGAAGGGATAACGCAGAACCCAAGGGCATGGTCTTGGGCGGGGACCATCTCCCTCTCTGGGCCGTGGAACCGGATCCTGGGGCCTCTGCACCATCTGGGGCCTGGGGTGGGGCACACGGGCTCGGACATGTGCCGTCTCTTCTCAGGGCCTCCTAGGATGTGCCCCAGGAATGTCAGCTTTCAAAGAAGCCAGGAGCAAAGGTGAGCACCTGGGCAGAGGGCAAAGCGGCCAGCTGAGCGACTTCCTTCCTGAACTCACGGCTGCGTCTGCATGGACAGATGGGAAGGGGCGAGAAAGGGCTTGGGGCTCTCCTGGTAACTGGGCAAAACACTGAGCCGGCCAGCGCAGAGAACTGTGGTGTGCCGGCTTCCGCCAGTTTGGAGACAAAACGTGGACTGGCTGGAGGACACCTCACAAGTGGCAAGTGTGTGGCCGCTCATGCAGCCCCGGCTCTGTTCCTTCACCCAGAAGGCTTGGTGAGATTCACGCTGCTCACGAGAGACGACTTGCCTGGACTGAGGTCAAGGGCCAGGAGGCCTGGACCGAGTGTCTTCCTGGCCCTGCCTCTGGCTCCTGAGCCATCTCTGCCAAGTCTACTCCCGCCCTGGGCCTCAGGTTCTTTATCGCCCAAGTGGCGCGATGCCATTCGGCAGTATATTGATTTATGGGGGTTTTGCCTGGACAGATTAGACAAGAGTGGCGTTCCCCAAGAAAAAAGTCCTCTTGACTTGACAGCTAATCAGCACAATCTTGACTTGGGATTTAAGCTTCTATGCAGGGTGTCCCTAGAAACGAGAGATGAAAGAGAAGAAATCCGCCTCCCACCTTTCCCCAGCCGCCCACACTGCCCTTCAGGCTGGCACCTCCTCGTTGCCCTGTGCGCAGCTGGTGATTTAACGCCTCCGCTTCCCAGGGGTGGTTGCATTCAAAGCCACAAAAAGGACTTGAGGCGGAGGCGTCACCCGGAGGGAATGTGGCCTGGTATAAAGAACCGGCATTTGGAACTGGATGTACCCGGGTTCCAACCCCAGGTCTGCACTTCCGAACCACAAGCCCTTCGACTATTTAAGCCCTCAGAGTCTGTTTCTGCCTTCGGTTCTGTGAAGATTGGAGATAATAGGTGTAGAGCTTATCGTAAGGCGCCGGGCAAACAGGAGGTACCTAATAAATGCAGTGGCCATTAACACACCTATGCTAACTGCAAATTTCTGTGACTCTCCAATGTTGGACTTTAGGTATCATAGCCCCTGAAAGGGGGTAGCCATTTAAAGCAGAGGGGTCTTCTGGGTCCCCTAAGTCACATGACAAGTCTAAGTGACAAGAACCATATGTTACAGACCACAGGGGACTATAGTGTCCTTTTGGTTGGGCATGGGGTCTTAAGTCCCTTCAGGTTGCTGTGACAAAATACCACCGCCCGGGTGGTGGCTCATATTGAGAGAACTTAATTTCCCACAGTTCTGGAGGTGGGAAGTCCAGTGTCAGGGTGCCGGCTTTGGTGTCTGGTGAGGACCCCGGGTGGGGGGGGCGGTTCACAGATGGGGCCTTCCCACTGTGTCCTCACATGGGACAAAGGGGTAAGGTAGCTCTCTGGGGTCTCTTTTATAAAGGCACTGACCCCACTCAGGAGGGTTCCACCCTCATGACCTGATCACCTCCCAAAGGTCCCACTTCCTAATACTGGCACTGTGGGGGTGAGGATTCAACACAGGAATTTTTGGGGACACAGACATTCAGATCAGAACACATGGTCTGTCTCCAAGGAAGCACGGGCAACGGGTGAGGAGCTGGCAGCGTGTGGGGGGAATTGAGGAGGGGTAAGTCTCTGGGTGGAACCCACAAGGCCTGTGCACATGTGTGCACACAAAAAATGCATATGTACCCAAGCACATGTGCACGAGCACACGCATGCTTACACTTGGTTACCCACTGGTGGGCCTGAGCCTGGGCTCTGCCCTGCAGCAGGATTCTGAGGGAAGCTCCCAGAAGGATCACTGGGCCACTCCAACCCGCTGGCACATGACCTAAGCCACCAAAACCCTCCCGTTCCCTCTTGCAGACAGGGTGCTGAGCTCCAAGGCTATGCTTCTCAAACTTTGGCCACATAAGTCACCATGAAGATGCGGTCTGGGGGAGACCTGAGACTGAGCATTTTCCCCAGGCTCTGTGGAGTCTGGACCAGTCTAAGCAGCGAGGCTTAACCCTCCTTCCAGCCAGGAAATCCTTCTTGTTCTCATTAGACCTTCAGGAAATCGGATTCTGTGGCCACACACAGCCTGATGTTGGATCGACCAGAGCAAGTGCCAGGACTACGGGAAAATGACCGCCTGGGGAACAGGGAGCCTGCATTGTCACCGTGCGTACCAGGAGGCCTGAGCTGGGCTTTGGTTTCTGAGTGAGGCCCATCCAACTGCGGCCAGCGCAGCTGCACCAGGCTGGGTGTGTGTATGGCACGAAGGAGATGCATGATTGAAGTCATGCTGGAGGAAGCACCTTACAGAGGGGGACAATTATCCATGCCAGGGCTCAGCCTGGCTTGAATACCCAGCTCCACTCCCTCCTGCCCCAGTGGGCAAATCAGGTCCCTGTGGTGACCAGCAGAGGGCACCGCTGGCCCACACATGGTGTCTCGGCCACTGCGAAAAAGGACTGGGACTTCCCATCCCCGCTCGCTTCCCTGTGGGTGGCCAGGGGCCACGCGCCCCCCCCCCAGACTCCGTGGGCCTGTGCGCAGTGAGCTCGTGGCGACAGGCAGGTGTTTTGGGTCAGGTTTAGAGTTTTATGAATCCCGGCCTCTCCTCCTAAAGCAGCCACACTGGTCAGATCTGCAAATCCAGACACCTGGCCGAGGCCTTAAATTCGGACAGATTTTCCTCCCACAAAATTCCCTTTGTCAGTACTGCAGTTTCTGCGAACCCCAAACTCTGTTTCTGATTCATGTCCCCAAGTAGCCCAGCAGTAATGAGCCCAGGATATAAGGAATGTATGAACAGAACTCAGCCATGTCCCAATGGCTGATTAGTCTTGAGTCAAGAGTCAGAGGCCTTCTGGCGGTCAGAACCTGAGGACGGAGGCCGGGACTCTCAGTAGGATCACTGGGAGCCTCTCTGCCCTGTCTTATGAGAGGGCCTGTTCTTGCCAAGCTGTCTTTGGGAAGTAAAAGCTCCTTTGGGCCTTACAATGTCCCTGTCCCTTCGTCTGTCACACTCGACAATTAAGGGACGTTGTTGGGCTCCCTTGAAACAAGGCCTGCTTTCATCCCATTTCTTTCCCCTTCTCAAAAACTAATTTAAAACTTGATCAATATGTTGTGGTGTTAAGTTGCTAGGAATCAATTCTAATAAGCCTTGATTCCAGAGGTTTGCTTGTTTCAAAAAGAATGTGTTCTTAAGTGACAGTGGGCTGATTTTGAGGTGTCAAATGCCTTACTGTGGAAGCTTCCAGCATGTCAGGTGTTGAGGACAGCTACCAGGCTTACACCTTTTGCTATGCAGGGCCTCATGATTGGATTTGCAGTTAGAAGATAGTTTATGAATAAGCTCTGGCAATAGATTTGTAAGACATTTTCACTTAATGTAGGGACTTAAGTATTCACAGAATGAACACTTACACATTTAGGGTAAATGGCTACTTGTCAGAATACAAAACATTAGCCAGAAGACATCTCAAGCCAACACGGCTGCAGTGTGGAGCCCACTGTGGCCAATTTCCCTAAGGGTGTGCTTGCAGATACCTGCCTCCAGGACTTCCCCATAAACACACTTTTCTGTCAAAACAAACAAGGAAGCACTATAAACGAAGGCGGTTCTTCCCTAAACGCCTTGGTCCTGCTGCTGGATTCCCCTTGGGTCTCACTTCTTTTATGTCTTGGGTGTGTGAGCGACTCCTAATTCTCATAGTTGATGCCAAAATAGAAAGCAGTTTAGGTTCCCTGCTTGGTGTGGTATATGACGCTGCCCCCCCCTTACAGCTGAGAATGAGGATGCACTTTTTCTAGAACACTGCTGGTTCCTACTTAAGGGATGTTCAGGTATTAGTTTATGATGCGAGTGGAAAAAAGAAAGCTTTGCGATGAAAATGGATGTCTTGGTCGTTAGCAGTGACAAAGCAACTTTGCCACGCGGCTGTTTCTTGGGCGAATTCCACACCCCATGCACAGAAGAGTCAGGCTCCTGAAATGCAGCTGCTGTGAACCCGGCACACCCAGTAAGTCAGCCACTCTGAAGCCCTCTAGAACAAGACGGGATGTTAACAAACAGTAGGCCAGTGGCACCGCCCTCTAGGCCTCCTGACACTGGCATTCTGTTGTATGCTGCTGTCTCTCGTGGGCAACCATTCAGCATGACAAAACTGTGCCTCAATTGTATTTCAAGTAAGATTATAAAAATATATGCCTTTATGAAAACAAAACAAATGAAAACACCCAACTACTCATACTGAGGGGCGCACAAGATGGAAATGCAGTGACTCTGCAGACTGACATCCAGCCTAAGAGCTACAGAGTGTGGCTGGGCGTGGTGGCTCATGCCTGTAATCCCAGCACTTTGGGAGGCTGAGGCGGGAGGACTGCTTGAGCCCAGGAGTTCAAGACCAGCCTGGGCAACATAGTGAGACTCTGTATTAAAAAAAAAAAAATACCCCCTCCCCCAAAAAAGCTGCAGAGGAACAAGTAACTGACTCTTCCCTCCCTGCCATTAGAAGGAACATGGGGCAACCCCCTCGAGTCCCCTCCCACTCTGGGAGCTTTTCTGGCCTCTCAATAAATCTTGCTATAGAAAAAAAAAGAAGGAATAACGTGGCACATTCAGCCAGATACGCTTTGGGTGGACTGTCCCCACAGGGATGGCATTTAGACGGTCCCAATAGGAACGGCATTTTCAACACGCAAATCCCAAACATCACCTACAGGGGGGAAGACACTCTGAGAAGGGCCCGGGAAAATCCAGTTACCTTTCTAGGCACTGCTCTCCCCAAGGCGACCCCGGGGGTGGAGCAGAAGAGCCCGACGTTCACACCAGGGGTGGCGAAGGAGGCCTTGTCGCTGGCCATGGCGATGTCGCAGCTGGCCACCAGCTGACAGCCGGCAGCCGTGGCCAGGCCGTTGACCATGGCGATGACCGGCACGGGGTGGTTCCGGATCAGCATCATGACCTGAGGGACAGATACACCTGCGTCACATCTGGAGGGAGACCCGGCACAAACACCTATCACTTCAGGTGGCGTCACAGTTTCCAGGGTGCTTTTCCTATGCACGAGTTTGTCAGATTCCATTTTCAAAAAGGGTGAAAATAAAGGCACCCAAAGCCCTGACTTGAGTTAAGTCCCTTCTCTGAGCCAGATTCTAGAATTTGATCTCCTGAGAACCCCATGAGGAAGGAACCCTAATATGCAACAAGGACACTAAGCCCAGAGGGGGATGTCAGTTGCCTGAGGCCACATGGCAGGTGCTATCCAGGCCTGTCAGCCCTAAGCACATCTCTCAGAGGCGACAGTTCCCCCAAATGCCTCCCTGGCAAACTCGCTGAAGAACAGTGTGCATGTTTATCTCCGGGGCACAAACACAACCCTTCCCGACAATTCCCTTGTCATGGTGCAGCAGTGCTGGTGTTAAAAGCCAGATGCTGGTATCTGGAGCTTCCTTGAAACATTAAGGTGGAAAGGGTCTCAGAGCCCGCTTCCTTGGTAATTACTCTCCAATTACCACCATGCACACTCTCTCAATTCTATTAAGGTTGGGAAAGGTGACCCTGCTGTCATCAAAATAAACACAATTCCCAAAACAGAGCCTCAAGCACAGTAAGGAGAGCTGGAAATGTGCCCCTACCCTGTCATACGTCTCCAGAACTTTATTCTTGCAGCTTAGTTTTTCATGGCAGTCTAAACAGGCTGCGTTGCTATGGTGACTCCAATTTCTAAATTGTTGCTCTTTGAACCTTGGCAGGGAGGGAAGGATGATAGGAACTAAATCTGGGTTTCTTCCCCCAAGGCAGCAATTCAAAGGAAGACGACCTTCATTGATTTGAAGATTCTGTCTAAGAAATGTACCTTCTGTATTCATCAACATTTGGTATTTGTTAGCTTTATTCTAAAATAGACAATTACATGTGGAAGGTGGTGGCATCTTATTCTACAGTGGTGGGTTAGGGCTTCGGGGGGGGGAAGGGTCACCTTTTGAGAGCCTGACAGATGGTAACGACCCCCTCCCTCCCTGGAAGAGTGTACAGATACAGCCCTGCCCACAAAACTGCTCACGGAGTCAGGGGGTTCCTGCATTCAAGGTGAGGCTGGGGATAGAATGGGGATAACAGGTCTAAAGTCTTGCTGTGAAGAAAGAAAAGGTTTTGTTTTTGTTCCACGTGTCGTCCCAACACCCAGGGAAATGAAGCTGCTTAGGAAAAGTCAGTGGGCTGGGCTTACAGTTGAGCAGTCTGTGTGTTCTCTCTGCCATCTGTGAGTGGCTGGGATTCCATAACACCCAGTAGAAAAATGCTTTCATAGTGCTGTAGATATTCAGTAACATTAAAAATACTTACACCTGACCCCGGCATTTTAGCAGGCAGAGGAGAGAGGATTGCCTGAGCTCAGGGGTTCGAGACCGGCCTGGGCGACTTGGCGAGACCTCGTCTCTACAATAAATCACTAAAAATTAGCTGGGCGTGGTGGTGTGCATCTGTGGTTCCACTTTCTTGGAAGGCTGAGGTGGAAGGATTGCCTCAACCTGGCAGGTCGAGGCCATGGTGGCCGTGAGTGTGACACTGCACTCCAGCCTGGGTGATGGAGAGAGACTCTGACTCAAAGAATAAAATAAATAAATAAATAATAAGAAAGTCTATAAGTTAAAATAAATAAATAAAAATGCTTATGCCTTTGGTCCAGGAATTCTACTTCTAAGAAAAAACTATAAATAATATAAACCTACAGTAATAAGTAAGCAGTTATGTAAATGAAACTATATCCATTGACGAGAATGCTGTCTTCTCATTAGAATGCAATTTTCCAAGACAAATACCAGCATGGCCTTCTGGGACTGCTGGGGTTTGATGCTCAGTCTGTCACTTACTTGCTGCCTAAGCTTGGACAAGTCATTTGACCCCTCAGTTTTCACATCTGTTAAATGGGTATAATAATAGTACCAACCTTACAGAACATGGCAGCTATATAAATTAATATGTCCAACACACCTAAAGTATTGCCTGGCACACAGTAAGCATTCAATGCCATAATCAATTGCACAATTACACACTGTAAACATGATTATTCAGACAAACAAATAGGCACACAAAAAGAAATATAGCCAAATATTAACAGTGGTTCTCTCTGGGTGGTATGATTATGGTATAGCAGCAGTAATTTGCACTTCTTCATTTTATTTTTCTAGATTTTTAAAATATTTAATAGTAAGTACGTATTACTTTCATAACTAAAAATATTTTAAATAAAGTTAGAGAGCGGTTCAGAAAAGACAAGGGGAACCCAGGTGACAAACAAGCTAGGATAGTCAAACTCTTGACAGTCAAGAATCAGTTATACTTCCTACTTGGCCTTCTTTAATTAGTACTGTTTTGGGTCTGCCTACTTATTGCGTGACGTAAATTTTTTTTTGAGTTGGAGTCTCACTCCGTCGCCCAGACTGGAATGCAGTGGCACACTCCTGGCCACCGCAGCCTCGACCTGCTGGGCTCTGGTGATCTTCCAAGTAGCCAGAACTACAGGCGTGCGCTACCATGCCCGGCTAATTCTTTTTTGATTTATTGTAGAGACGAGGTCTCGCCAAGTTGCCTGGGCGAGTCTTGAACCCGCGGGCTCAGGCAATCCACTCGCCTCGGCCTCCCAAAGCGCTGGGTTGACAGGCTGAGCCACCGAGCCCTGCCGGGGCCTCTACTAACAGCATCAAGAGTTTCCAAGTTCTTTCCCAAAGCGAGAGACCTTGTCCCTCGGCCATTTCATTGGTGGCTGTGAGAAGAAAGAGGAGAACTTCCCCTGGGCTCGAGTTTCCATCTCCAATTTCAACAGGGTGTTAAGAGGCACTATGTCTGGAGCAAACTCCATAGGTCACTTTCACTCTTCACCACCAAGTTCTTCTCATCCTCATTCTTAATATGCCCTACTCCTGAGGTGTCAGTAATTAACCATCACACAGTACTTATGGCCTGTAACAAATTGGCTGTTGTTTCTAGATGTGGACTGATTCAGACACCTCTATCTTCCTTTCTAAAATCAAATTTTCTCATGCATGAACTGAACAATGAAATATCTAGCTCATTCTGTTCCAATCTGCCTGCTGATTACACTTGGAAATTGAAATCTTGCACGAGTTCACGGCTCGTATTTACCCAAGACAATTTGATTTTCTTAGAAATAGTATGAACGGAATCAACACGCTCTCACTCTGATTTCACCACTTTAGGGCCAGGTCCTGGTTGGCTGAGTCTTCTTTGGGGAGCCAGAGGCCATCTGCTTCCAAGAAACCTGACCTCTGTCCTCTGCAGAAGCCCTGCTCCCCCTGGCTCTTTACTGGCCTGTTCAGATCTCAGTCCAGGAGGTTACCAGAGCAGAGAGATAAAAGCAGACCCTCTGGGGAGGAGGGAAGGCTCTGCTGTTTCCTTTGATGCTTTTCTACTTTAGCCAAACATGCCGGGTATTCATGGAAAAAAGCTTTTAAAGCACGGAGCCTTGGCAAACCTGAGAGCAGAATGCTACACAAACATCAACATAGAAACAAAAGCCTGAGTTCCAGCTCGCACTCCCCTCCCCAGAAGCTTCAAGGAAATCGCTTTTCCTGTTTGTCCTCCACGAAGTGAGAAAAATAGAACCTGATCTCTTTAAAGATTTCTGGAAGGGCAAGAAAGACAAAAGGTGGGCAAGAAGCACCCTCCATTCACCTTCTCCTGTCTTGTCTGCACAGTATTTGTTGAATCATTAATGACCAAACACATGAATGAATAAGTCAATGATTGAATGAAAAGCTAGGTGAAGTTACCCTAAGATCAGGTTATGAATCTGCTCTATCAGATTCATAGTCTTGTTTCCCAACTAGATTTCCAGTTTCAGTTTGGCAGGAAATTTTTTTTCTCATGCTTCTCTCAATACTTTGCAAGTGTTATGTTTACAGTAGGTGCTGGCTGTGTTCACTGAATGAACAACGTGTTACTTAAAGCTGGATTCCATATTTGGTTTTTTAATCCTCCAAGGGGGGTTGATTTCATGCATTTATAAATCATCCAAAACATTTTGTACCTCTTTTTCCTCTGTGGCTGTTGGCAATTTTCCTCAATATGGTGAAAGAGGCAGAAAAAAAAGGCAAAAATGAAAACGTTAATTTTCCTTCTTGGACGTGGTGAGTAAAAGGTTGGTTGAAAGAAATAATTTTTAAAACCACTATTGTTACTCTATTTATGAACAGTCTTTTCCATTTGACAGAGTTGTTTTAGTTTAAAAGTTTTACAAATTATCATAATCTTAGGTTCTTCCTCTCTAAAAATGTACATTTTCACCTTTGACCCCTTACTCAAAACTGGCACACCATGACACACCCCACCACGCTGGAGATGGCACCTGTGAGTACCATCATGTATTCGACTTTCTTTGGTACAAAACAAAATCAACAGCACATTATAGCCACTTTTTCTTTTTGAACAGAGGTCTCACTCTGTCACCCAGGCTGGCGTGCAGTGGCACGATCTCCGCTCACCACAGCCTCGACCTCCCGTGCTCAGGCGATCCCTCTTGCCCCAGTTTTCAGTCGCTCTGCGGTGGTTTAGTCTCACAGTCAAAGCTCACCTGTCAGCTCGAAGGCTAACTCAGCGATGCTTAAGCTCTCGACCACTTTCAGGCTGGCAGCGCTGCCCATCTCCTGGCTTACCTCAGAACAGGTCTGAAAGACTTCCGCGTGGTAACCATGGCCTTGTTCCTCCGTCAGCTCCTTTAAATCATGCCCAGAAGAGAACACAGGCCCCTCGGCTGCCAGCGTTTCCAATCGAGAAAAGAAAAGCAAAGAAAAAGATGTGGATAGCCAGAGGGGCCAGGGAGTTCACTAGCTAGCTCTTCACTTAGAGAAAGTTAATGGCCCAATTTTCAGAAAAAGAATTCCAGTTTGCTCGAAAAGTTACAGCCAGAATTTTGCGATGAAAATGCAAGGTAAGGCAGCTGTGTCCTAAAAGCCCACGGGGGGAAACGATGAAAACAGGCAGTAATGCACGCAGAAGGGGAGGAACAAGAGGGGGGGCTTCACAGAGCCTTTGATCTGGGACTGGGCTGGCCTGAGTGTATAGGCGCAGGCAGGCCGTTCAAACCCACCCTGCACAGACACGTCCCTGCCATCTGTCGACCCACGGTGGCCAGCCACAGGGGCTGCATCGGGAAGGCCAGGGGGAAGGGACCTTGGAGTCAGCTGGCTCCAGCTCTTGATTTTACAAACGCGGTCTCTGAGGATGTGGCTGCTGCCACTGTCATCACCCACAACAAATGTCATCCCTGATGACTGGCAACACCTCCCTCCCCCTTTTGTTGTGGTTCTTTGGCAGCCAGTCTTGCTCTCCTCTCACATTATTTTGCTGCATCAGGGAACAGCCCCCGAGGCTGCTGGACTCGCCTGGCTCAATCTCCTTTGCCCTTCACCTTATAAAACAGGTGAAAACTTTTGTTTTCACCAGGGTAAGATGATAACATTCTGAGTACCTGTCTCTAGAAACAGGTTTTTTTGGTTTTGTTTTGTTTTGTTTTGAGATAGGGTTTCATTCTGTCATCCAGGCTTGAGTACAGTGGCATGATCACGGCTTAAGCAATCCTTCTGTCTCAGCCTCCTAAGTAGCTAGGACTACAGGTATGCACCATCATGCCCACTAATTTTTCAGTTTTTTGTAGAGACAGGGTCTTGCTGTGTTGCCCAGGCTGGTCTTGAACTCCTGGCCTCAAGTGATCCTCCTGCCTCAGCCTCCCAAAGCACTGGGATTATAGATGTGAGCCACTGCACCTGGCCCAGAAATGCTGATCTTTACATTTGCAAAACAAAACAAAACAAAAAACACCACAGAACATCATTGGCTATACTGGTCTGCAGAAGCTGTACAATGCCGACAGTTCTATTATTTATAACACCTCCACCATCACAAGCAAAGATAATTCTGTAAAAAATTTTATTGGAGCAGACAAGGAAATGGGGAGAAAATGCTGCATACTTCCCAGCACTGTAAAAGGAGACACTGCAGATGTCAGTTGAAAAACTTAAGAGCAGAAAAGACAAACCAATCAAATGCCCCAATGGCCAGGTCCTACCTGGCCAGGAAATCTCTCAGAAGGATGAGAGATTAAACCCATTTCAGGCTGGGCACGTTGGTCACGCCTGTCATCCCAACACTTTGGGAGGCTGAGGCAAGAGGGCTGCCCAGCCCAGGAGTTCAAGACCAGCCTGGGCAATTGGCAAGACCTCGTCTCTACAATAAGCCAAAAAATAAGCTGGGGGGGTGGTGCACGCCTATAGTTCCAGTGCCTTCGAAGGTTGAGGCAGAAGGGTTGCCTGAGCTCAGCAGGTCGAGGCTGCGGTGGCTGTGAGCATGCCACTGCACTCCAGCCTGGGCGACAGAGTGAGACTCTGACTCAAACAACAAAAGCAAAAACAAAAAAACCCATTTTATAAGGTCCCCAAAGAAACGGATTCTCTGATTCTGATGGGAAGAGCGGAATAGCCAGCTATGACAATGTTTAGTAGCTGACAAAAAGGAAAAGAACTTTTTCCACTGAACAGTAATCTTTGCTATAGTTTCTGCAGTTAAGTGTTAGAACCACGTCTCCAGCTACACAAGAGTTTTCCGTAACGAATGTTCCTGTAAAGCAGCTTTGACACAATTTTCCAGTTAAAGGAGGGAAGGCCCCAGTTTACCCAAGAATTTCGAGAAGCCTCTTCTGGGCAGTGTGGAACACTAAGGAGAGATACCGGATAGATACCTGAGATGACAATGACTTTCAGATCTTTGCTTTCCGCCTCATGAAGAATGTCGTTTCGGAGGGACTTGAGCATCGCAAGTGACAGCGCGTTCCGCTTCTTCGGATTGCTCAAGACTACGTGCCTGGGAAGAACATTCTGTGATCACTGGGTTGGGCACCAGTCAACACAAGTGAGGACCCCTGCAATCCCCTTCTAATTTGGGAGCTGTTTTTAAAACACCAGGAAAGAGAAACACTGGTGCTTAGTGCCAGTTGAGAGGGTCTGTCAACCCTCTGGGGCTGCAGTCAAGTCAAAACAAGAAAAAGACGGCCTGGAAGGCAGGCTGGTTTTCCTGCCTCTCTCTTTGATTTGTTTCTCTTTTTCTCCACATTTGCTGTCAGAAACATGACCGCCACTTCCACAGAAAGGGCAAGGCATCGCAGCTCCCAAGTCTCCGCCACCCATCCAGAGAGGACGCAGCGTTGGATGACAGCCGCAGGGAGGGGGGCCTGAAGGGCGGCGATGCCCTCAGCGTGTCCCTGATGTCCTTCAGAGCAAAGCTAGGAAGGAGCCTTGAACGACAGGGCACCCCACGCCTCCTCTCCCCGGCCCCAGGGAAGAGGCAGGGGAGGCGTGGCCGCGACACACGCCTAGGACAGCATCGGCCCATCTTTCTAATCGTGGTGTCTTGTAACTCTGCAAAATAACTGGCTGTTGGAGAACAGATGGGAGTGAAGAGCAAAGGACAGACCACACAGCAACGGGCTCTTCCAGACACGCCATCTCGCACAAGGCTGGCGCTCAAAGGGCCTGCTCGCATGTTAGGGGGGTCCATGTGCTCAATAAAATCAACCGCATTGTCATCTTGTTGCCTGCACACAGAAACGTCTCATTTTTGCTGTTATAAGACACAGGCAACAAGCCAAACGCTGATTACTGTCATATAGTTTGTACATTCCCCATCGGTCTCCACCTACTCGCTGTCTGCCTCCCCCTTCTGTTGGGAATCTGATATCCCTACTGCCACGCAGTCAGCTCGAATCCTCCAGAAATAGCACCCGTGTCATCGTTTTCTGGAAAACAACCTTGATGACTGAATTTATCTCAGTGTAGTAAGACTAACTGCTGTCTTTGGAACACCACTTCAGTTTTGCCACAGCCTCGGAGGCTGTGCTATTCACCCTGTTGCTTCTCCTACACGTGTTCTCTCCTCAGTACAAAGATGACTTGCAGCTGATATCCTGATGGCCCTCCAAACCTATGTGTGGCGGCAGCAGGACAACTCCTTAGAAACCTTTCAGTACAATAATGAGTATGCCTGTTGGGCCAGACGCACTAAGCTGCCACGCCAGCAGTGCCATGTGCTCGCATCCAGCTCTAAGGCCTTAGGCAAGCAACTTGGTGGAGAAAGATCCCCACCCCCGAATGCCCTTGCTGCCTGGTGCTATCTGCTCCCCTGGGTCCCGCTGGGCTCACACGTCACACGCTGCCAGGGTGGTGCTCGAACCTGCCGAGTCCACCCCTCAGCCCAGTGTCCTGACCCCGCCACTGAAGCCCTTCTCACCGGGAAGTTCCCAGTCACCAGATCCAGGCCTGCTGGCCATGCTGGTCACTCCCTCCTTCTAGAAGCAGATTTCTCCTGCCTGGTGGTTTTGCACTGCTCTGGCCAAGCACTGTGGACCTCCTTCCTGGGCTCCTACCCCTCAGCTAGCACCTAAATGCCAGGGGGTCTCAAGCCCTTTTCTCACTCCACATGCTTTTTCCTGGCAACTTTACCAGCGGCCCTGACATCCGCTGCCGCCTATGCCGAGCTCCAGGCCCATGGTCCGGCCCTCTGTCTCCTGGACTCCCCGCCTGGTGCTTCTGGGCATCGTCCTTCACGCCTGGGCCTGCCGCTCTCCTCCTCTGCCCTTACCTCAGTGCTCGCAATCAGCGGCCCAGCCAGAAATGGAGAGCCATTTTCAATTTCTAGCCCCTCATACTCCACGGGCTCAAAACTCAACTGACAATACCTCCTGAAAATCTCGCCAGCCTGAACCCTCCCCGGGGTGATCTTGGTTCAAAGCACATGTTGCCCTGTTCTGAGAAAGCCACCAACTCCACCCATCTGAAGAGGAAACCTCTTCAAGAATGAGGTCGCCCAGGGCATGTGATAAGACTGTCCCAGCAAGAGATGGGCCCCATAAACATCCCCGAGCTGTGTGAAGATCATCACTGTAACCATGAGAAGGCCCCTGAGAAGAGGGACTGCCAGGCTCACCCACAGAGAAGACACTCAATGAAAGTCTGTTGACTGAACTGATGCCAAAAAACGGCATTTCTGCTTTTCACAGCCAATCCCATCGATGGTGGTGGAGTAACATCATATCTGGCTTTCTGACTGTCTCTTCAACCCAAGTGGTGGGGGCTGAGATGGCACAGCAGAGTGGAAACGACTCCGGGGACAGAGGGGCCACTCTCAGACTCCTGGCGATCCCACTACTGGCTGTGTGGCCCTGAACGGGCTGTCACTTCTCTGAACTTGTTTCCACATTGCAAAGCGGCGATGATGTTATCCACCTTGCAGGGTTAAGTGTCAGGGACCACGAGTGCAGCGTCTGCGTGGAGCCCAATCAGATGTGGCCCTGCCTGAAAGACCGCACTGGGGCTGGGAGGCCCTGCAAAGGGACACTTGCGGAGTGACGGGCTGCTCAGGCGCACCTGCTTAGTGCCTGACAGCACTGCTTTCATGCCTGGCCAGGGGTTCCCCTCCTCCCTAATGGTTCCTAGCTTGTGTGATGGTTCCCATCACCCCGCTTTCTGACCTGATGATCTGATCCAACTCTGGAGAAATCGACTGGCTCCTTTTGCCAGCGGGCTGCCGTGCTCAGAAGCCAGGCTGCGGCCCGGATGTAAGCAGACTTACAGACGCAGAACCGCCCTTCTCCATGGGCAAGAAGGGTCCCTCAAGGGCCCTGCTCTGGCCTTCTTACAGCCACACCCTCCAGAGGAGCCAGGAGTCCACCGGGAGGGAAACCCAGCTGCAGTCACCCATACCCCGGAATGCGTGGCCCTGCAGTGAGCACCCCAAGGGGGCCAAGCGCAGCTGTCCATAGGGCATGAGGGACAGGCAGCCTATGTGCATGTGGGCTGGTGTCTGCAGACCTTTGTGCCCAGGCCCTTGTACTGCAGGCAGGAGGGCTGGAGTGGAGGGGGGGGAGAGGGCAGAGCCAAAGGAAGCCGCTGCAGGCCAGGGGCAGGCTCTGTGCTCCTGCTGGGGTGTGCCCAGGGGTCTGAGGATGACCAACTCACAGCAACCTTCCATGTCTCAGGAAGGTATACTTCTCAGGGTAGGCGAATGAAACATTTGACAGCCTGATGGGTAACTCTTGACTATGCTATGTAGGCGTCCTCTTGGGCCCTTCCGGGTGGGCAAACATCAGGTTCAGGCCTGGATGGGGTCCTCTGACCCTCACTACTCCATCGTTCAGTTTCCAGCGTGTGCACAGGCATGTTTTGAAGGGTTTTAGGCTTGTTGCCAAAAGGGCAGAGCTCAGGACGCGATGTCCTTAGCCCTATTTATTGACCCACCCCCCGCACATGGGTGAGGGCCAAGGAGCAGCACGACCAAACTAGCTCACCCTGGGGCCACGTCAGGTGCGTGACCCTCCTCGGAAGGGCTCTCTCGGAGGCCCACACCCAGCCCGAAAGTCCAACAACCACTCGGTTCTGTTGCCCTGCGGCTTTAGGCCGGGGCCGTCCAAGTCAGTCCCACTTGCAATCCTCCCACCTGCGTCTTGCTACTGTGCCCAGGCCCTTCCCCAAAGAGCTTACCCGGCCGACTTC